ATATATATATATATCTTTTTCCCTATTAATTCACGTGATCGTGGCCGCTGAACAGATCTGAGAAGAGTTCGTGAATGGTTTTCTCCATTGCCTTTCTGGAAGTTGTAACTGTTCCCTCTGCGCGTTGGAGTGCAGTCATCGTGATCGTGTAATTAGCGAAGCTTCGCTGGGCTTTGCGAATGCTTTTCACGGCTTCTGCAGTTTCGAGCAAACGGCTTAAAAACTTTTTTTATCTCCTGTCTGCATTGTTTTGCAAGTTCCTACATGAGTTGACGGTTGCTTGAAACTCATGCGTTTCGACGCTAGAGTAACCGCTCGAGTGTTTCTGGAGATAGACGTCTCTTGGTGAATGTCGAACTCTCCGCTTTCGTACTGCTAACGTGAAGTTGTTGAATTAACTGATCCTACTCTTGTCGATGTTGTCGAGCACAGCATCGTCTCGAATAGCATCTCAGCAGCAGAATAAATAGTCGAAAAATTCCAGTTTATGGTGGTTATGAGGCTTCGATTTTTGTTTTTTTCTTTTTGCATTTAACGGCTTTCTGTCCTTTCCGCGCGAAGCAGGAATCAGGCGTAGAGATAACTCTCTGATCACATGTAAAATTTTGGGACAACAATGACTTTGTTTAATTTAGACTTTTGAGTTACTATGATCTCGTCTACTTCTTTATGGTGCTCTGCATTGGAGGACTCCCACGTACCGCATTAAGAGTGGGACTTCTAGAATTGCGAGTTACCATCAGTCTTGGTTGTCATGATAATCGCAAACAGCCGCTCACCCTCCTCGTTCCATTCTAATCTGTAGGACCCAATGTGACGTTCTTCAGACGTTTTTCTGCGTCCATTCGTGGCGTTAGTACTCCAATGATGACCTTAAAGAATTTATGGCACCTTCTGTAGAACTCCTCCATGTCCATATAGAATGCTTTGGCTCCTTTTTTGTCATAGCGTATCATTGGTACGTAGACGACAAAGATTTTCAAAGCCGATATTGATCCACGTTTCTTCAAACGTAAACCTTCCATTCGGATTGCTAGCTGTTCGAATAAATCAATGTTAATGGTCAAACCTGTGTTGATGAGATCGCCGCCGCCTCAGCCGACTCCTCTACTGTCGCATTTTTCCGAGGACAGTTCTTCTCCGGTGACATAGATGGCGTTGGATGGGTAGCGTCTTCTTGTCTCGGCCAGTTTGATGATTTCCTTCTTGCCTCAATGATCAAGTTCTCTGTCTAGGACTCCGAAACAAGTGGCCTTGCATTGTAGGTTCAGATCGTCTTCTTAACCCTTTGCGATTAGACACCTTAGAACGGCCCCGGAGTTTTATAGGCCTCTCCCTACACGTCTGATACATGCTTCCATACCTGGGGCTGTTTCGCTATCAGAGGAGTTAGGTCCACTTATTTATTGCTGCATTTAGAATTTGGTACCCACATATAGCTTGCTGAGCTCTAAACGTGTGGCTGAGTATGCTCATGGGTGGTCTGCCAGTCTTCACTAGAGAAGGCGAGAAGCTCATTTGTTGGAGACGACTCCTAACGGCCTCCCATATACTTCCCTATTTCTTTATTTTAAGCTATTGGCCATATTGACTCGTAGAATACAATCCACATAGACGAGAACATACCTGCACACGCATGAATACTACTTCGCAAGCACAGAAGCTGTGTGCGAAATCGTCACGGCAGAAACAGGGTGCCCATCTTGTGGGTCCACCTGCATCTCAGAAAAGGATGAGGTTGCTTTTACTTCTAGATTAACCTCACGTCAACCTCTTGGGTCCACAACACGTTGCTTGAGACCAGCAACCATGGTATACCTCTATGAATGATCTTCGGAGATCAAGAAAAGAAGGATAGAGCTCTGTTATTAGCACTACTTGCTTAACTATGGAATTTTCCACAATTGTATGGCTTTCTTGCCTCAATGCTGTTTTTATTCATTCATCGTTGCAGGTGTTCATCTTAGAATGTAGTTTCACCTGCAAATTGATGACGTTATCTTCTTTCCACATTTCAGTGTTGGATTCTTCTCGAGGGTATTTTTTATATAGAGTCTTGTGATAGCCACTGTAAGGTGTTCCTAGGTCTTCTCTTTACGGGAGTCCTAGAGTAAGCGGAATAGGGTGATTGGTGCTTTGTTGTTAGTATTCTTATAGGTCGGATCTAACTCCCGGACTGTTACCTTTAACTGGGAAGTCGAGACATCGTTTTAGGTCACTGTGTATTGTCTGTTATTTCACTTTAGCACTATTTCTATATAAGGAAAACATCTCAATAAGTAGAATTCTCCATTCCAGATTTAATTATGTGAACGTGGCCGACTTCTCTTTGCTACTTTCTCATTTTTCGTAATGGTCGATGATCGGATACGCTCACCCCTAAGCGTCAATCTTCAGTAGATCAGGCTATTTCTTCCATACTCTATTTCCATCCAACAATCTCATGACCATTCAGAAAAGTGTGTATTTTCTTTTGGCGAGCTGCTTTCCTTTCCATTTGAATATAAGAGATAAGACGCTTTCTTCAGAGCGAACGCAAATCGATATCTCTTGTCTTCTTTCTGTCCAGAAAATTTATTTAACGCCTATTACTTGCAACATTTAAGCTTTGAAACGTGTGAGCTTTATGAGTGTGGATGAAACTGTGTCCTCCTATGGTTTATAGCAGGGTTTTGCTTTTCTTTACAGAGTCTTATAACAAGGAAACGCATGTTTCATCACTGCTTGAGACCAGAAGCGATAATCGTGATTTCGAAGTTGATTTTCTAGAAAACAGCTGCGAAAAAATGTTTCAGTACACTTCACCTTGGGAATATCTGCTCACTATTCCCGTTGTCGAGGTGGAAACGTGAGTTTATAAAGGAAAACTTTATCAATTTCATATTTACATCGCTCTGGCATCACAGAATGGCGACACCACAGTCAAGTAGTTTCATGAACTTAACATCTAATTCGCTGCTCTTCTTTAATGACCAAATACGAGGTTGGAGCTATGGAATTTATTACCACAGAATAGCTGACGTTTGGCGATTTCGCCTTCTTCAGAGCTGGGAAAGGTCAAATTGACATATAGTCTATAACATTTTCATGTCCTTTGCCGATAAGACTTAACACATAAATTTACATTCACATAATAAGCAACTTCTTTTATGTTTACCTCGTAGACACAGAAAGCATAACGATGCAGCAGAAACTGGTAGTCAATCCCCTGGATCCATCTACATCTCAGGAAAGAATGAGGTCATTTTTGCTCTGCAATGACCACTTCCCCCTATCCGCTTCCTGGAGACTCGCCACGTTGCGTCGCGATTAACATACGAGAGATCTTTTTATGAGGAAGATCTGGCTGTTACTCTGAACATAAAAGGATAAAATATGAAGCTATCAGCGTTTAACAATCGCTGAGCGATTCGGCATACACTCGGCTACATCGAATATCATCAGAGGTGATTGAAGGCATATCTAGCCTACACAATGACCCTCGGTGGCTTACCGATGGATCGAGTCAGCCCTTCTACCCTCCCAGCCAGGTGTGGTATCAGTTTGCTCACCTGAAGTATTTGAGGGCCTGGTGAGCATCGTACGCTGGGTCAAGCTCATGGGTATTGCATGGCACCTCTAACCACTGCGCTACACACAGTCATTGTTCTGAGCATACACTTCGAAATACAAAATCCAGTTGAAGCTTCATAGCAGACCATTAATATGCTGTAAGTTCGATCGATCACGTGCAGCTGAATATTTTATAACAAATATTTCCAACAAATTATCATTCAGCATTAAAATCAATTACATTTGCTGATGGACTTTGAAAGATATTTAGCGAGAAAAAAAATCCGCTTACTCGCGAAAGCTACAGCTTCAATCCACATGACTTAATTGTGACTTGTCGACCCATTTAATGAGTTGCCGTGCAGTTCCTCGTTAGGACGCACTTTCCAAACAAATAACAAATCGGCGATTTAGAGAAATCAGTGCGTTTGCTACATTTTGGTCACAGTGTATAACCAACGTGTTGAGACTAATGTAGCTCAAAGGGAACTGTCCTCTTCATTCATGTCCTTGTTGTCAAAACCTCTTCAGCGGTTAGTTATCTGTCAGTTGTCTAACCTGTAACTGGCGTGTATACATTCTTATTTGCTAGCCAAAGCGGAATGACAGTTCCAATTTTGGTTGAACTGTGAGAGATATTCCCATTTCTTGCTGGTACATCGTGTAATAATTTCTAATACCAAATTAGCCCTAAATTTAACCAACAGGTTTGCGGGCTTGATAAGCAGACACGAGGTTGGAAATCTAATATAGAAGTCGTAATCCGTGAAAAACGTTCGTGACTGTGGAAGGCATGTTGCACTAGCAATCTCATGTCTGCTTATCAAGACATAGAAATTTATATTCATCTCTGTTTTTTTATTGCAGTCCACTTTTTTACGAAATAATGAATTAACAAAAGAAGCGAAACGATGTGCAAGTTTTCTGTAAGTGGTGACGTCTTGCAGTATGTCAGTCCTTCTGTACACCATGTGTGCGCCGAACGTGGCTGTCATGAGCAGCGTGAGAGGCGAACGGTTTTCCACAGTGCGCACACTGTAATTGAAGTCTCCAACTTAAGCTATATCGAAGATGTTGAAAAGGGTGTCGTATTTTCACCTTGAATGGTTTCTCACCACTGTGTTGTCTTACATGAGTGCGCAGAATCGACGAAGCAGTAAACGCCTTTGGACAAAATGTGCACTTATATGGTCGCTCCCCAGAATGTACACGATGATGCTGAAATCATGTTTGACTGCTGTACGGTGGAGATTTTCACAGTTCCATTTCCATATCGAAATCCCAAAAATTGTTATGTTTAGGATACACTTCTCTACGACTTTTCCTTTATCCATCATCGTTTTTTAATACGTCTGCGGTCAGAATTCTACTATAGATTCTCCAGATACTTTCAAACTTTTTCATTCCGACAAGATTCCAACCATGAATTTTGTAGTTAACTTGGGTTGGTATAAACTTCATTATGAATCGCGTAACTGCTCTATTACATGTGTGGTATGAGGTCTACATTTCAATAGTTAGAATGTTTTCAATATTACTGCGTGGTTTGAGGTAATTTATCACGGAATGCGATGATCGATAAAACCGAAGCGAGCCAACTGAGCTTTCTCAACTGGTATTATCTCAGTCGTTTCACTACTTAACGTGAGTTTCCTTGGGGGAGAAGCAAGCAAAGGTGAGTAGAGAAGGTCATTCATTGACACTACTTTCAAGATTACCTCCTTACCATAAAAGCTCGACGTGCTCAACATTTTTTTCTATTTATATGAACTGTAAAGAGTGCGTCTAGTGCAGTGGTCGGAGGCGCCCTGCAATACACATGGGCTTGATACACGCGCCCAGGCCCACCAAACTTTTCATCACTCCAGGGTCGACAAATTGGTATCAGACTTGTCTGCGAGGATAGCTGCACTGACCCAATACATTGGTAGGCCACCGCGACTAATTGTATAGTCAGTCACCTCTAACGCTATTCAGTGAAGTCGAACGTATGACGCATCCCTCAAGGATTGATCAATGCCGAGTTCTTTGTTCTTTATCCTTTTATATGACTCGTCGCCATACATTCTTCCGATTAGACTCTGCCACCTACTTCATTGTGTCACATTTTTTTTCTACGAGATTTTTCGAAATCGCGTATGAGATCGACTATTAGATGAAGATTTTGTTTTCTTCAAGCATATGATTGAATGGTGGTCGAATAGATTCTTCCTGGAGTATTTGTTCTTCTGGAGCAGTGCACTCATCATTTCGTGCATCTAAGGTGGATTGTTCCAATTAATTGTGATACAAATTTTCTTGCTTCGTATGGATGGGAATATGTTTTGTTCGCGTACGTGTTCGTTATGGTTTTTAGAAATTGTGTTCTCGAATAAGAATAAAGTAAAGACCGACATTCCACACGAAGTTCGGCTAGACAGCATGTGATTGAAGTCGTTGGTCATCAGCTACATCATTTCTACGTTGCTCATGTCATTATTTTTATAACACTAACCATCATCCAAGTAGAACAAATGTTGACAGAAGCAGCATATGTATAATAATTGATACTTGGCTGAATTCCTAAAGCACGACGTTCGTGAAAAATAGTCCTTGGCCCTGGTGCACCATCTAAGCTCATCGAAAATGCTTCGAAGTGATCGAACTCCTCGTGTCTAGATCGAATGAAAAGGGCTGGTTAGAGGTTTCAAGATCTACTGAAGAAGAGACGGAATTCCCAGCTCCGCGCCCATATTCTATCGCTGCAAGATTACTCTTACTTCAGCGCTCAATCAACGCAAAGTTCATGCTTCTTTTCAACACATTCGTTTTCATTTTCCAAATATGTTTCATTTAACTTTGTTTTAATATACATTAACTCAGCTGACATACAGAAGAAGAGCTTTTTGCCACAAAACGATGTTACTTATTACATGAAGGACAACTGCGGGAGTGCCAGGAGAGGTTGTGAGACGGTAAAATGATTATCACAAAAAATTTTTCAGATCTCGGAAAAGTGATACGAGGTGGCGCAACTTTTTGGCCAAGAACTAGGAAGTTGCACTGTCGTCTACCGACTGGTTTAGAATGCATTAGAATGTACTATAGCTATAGCCGAGCAAATAGAGGTACTCCACGTTGATGAATAACCAAATATTAGTGGAAAGAGGATACTACTTGGATACCAGGAAGGCCTATCTTTATTAGTTCTGCGAAATCTAGCACAATTTTTATTTGCTAGATTAGCCATGGTGGTCTCTTGTAGTCCCGAGGTCGTCCTAGCCGAAGCTGTCACCACTCTTGCCCACCTTGTGGATCAGAGAGAGATTTGCTACTATGCGACTAGTTTGATACTAGGAGAGTGGTAATTTCTGGTATTAGTTTACTCTTAGCAGGGCTTTCGGATGGAAACGTCGAGATCCTCAGCTTGGGAGACTCTGCTGATGGGATAAACCCCATGATATACGTTACAGTTGGACACCTATGAACAACACTTCTCAACAAAGGCGAAGCGGTAAACTGTTGAGAAGCGTCAATATAGGGCTTATTTAAGACGAGAATAACTTGATCTCCTACTAATTTTAACAAAAAGGCAGAATAATGACGTCTAGTTGGGTTCCCTCAACCGTGTGTTTCAACACTGCTCCCTTCAAGCGCTCAGAATCTACAAGAACCTCTGGCACATAGCAGGAGCGATTGAAAAGTTACTGCTCTTGAATCACTTGGTAATTAACAGGGAAAGAGGTGATAAAATCTTCGAAACCGACCTTCACTAAACCTCGGTGTGACTAATCAATATGTATTATTTCTTGATAAGCTTGCACGAGGTTGATAAATATATTTATTTTCGGCTAACGTTTCGACGTCTTCGTCTTCCTCAGAGCCGGTGATCCGAGTCGATGGTCCATGCTTGTTGTTCGCCTCGACGTTGCGACTTCGCCTTCGTGTCGAGCCAGATCTTCCTCAGTGAGCCATCTTCTCGAATCTTTTCGAATCTTTCTTTTCGAGAAGATGGCTCACTGAGGAAGATCTGGCTCGACACGAAGGCGAAGTCGCAACGTCGAGGCGAACAACAAGCATGGACCATCGACTCGGATCACCGGCTCTGAGGAAGACGAAGACGTCGAAACGTTAGCCGAAAATAAATATATTTATCAACCTCGTGCAAGCTTATCAAGAAATAATACATGGTGATAAAATCGATCTTTCAAGTTGAAGACCTATCGCAGTGAGAAGCCTTCGGCACTCCACAAATCTCACAGAGCCACTCTTTTGTGTTGGCAAACACGGAACAAAAATAGTAATTGGTACCATATTGATCCAAATTAAGAGACATGAAGGAAATTTAATAGGAATGCGAAATTCTACGTTTGATTGTTCGAATTATGGTAAAAAGAAAGCATGTGATTTGATTTACGGACGGGTGGCCCTTTAGACCATTTCAAGACAGAAAAATGAAAGAAATTGATAGAATGATCTCTGTTTGGATAAATTTATGATTACAATGAAGCCACGCTATCGTTTTCCTCTATTAACTGAGACTGCAATGGTTTTGAACTTTACCTAGTGAGCATAATCTCAGGAAAGTATGTGAGCAAAAAAGAAAGTGAAATATAAAACTAATTAGGTATCGTACAGTGAGCATAGAGGAAGAGGTACTACTATGATGAATGAATAAACTGTAGAAATCATCCAGCGCACACACCTTATTGAGACTACTTGACTGACTGAAAGCTTTTCCGCAAACAGAGCACAAATGAGGTCGGTGATTTTCGTGCACATGCAGAATGTGAATTCGTAGGCGATCCCTTTTTTCGAAAGACCTGAACAGTTCAGGATTGTGGAGGTTGCTCACATGGAGCAAAGACAGCTCTGAAGTGTTTGCACGTGCATACATACACATGGTGTATCAAACACACACAGCACGGTCTGTACTTGAGATACAAATGCTTTATAACGACGTATAACGGTGTACACGAGAGTACTTAAAACTACCATAGACCCTTGCAATTGAAAAAGAAGTACACCATCATCTATTTAGGCAATGGATCGGCGCGTCGGGACACCGCTAAAGAGGTTCGAGCCAGCTGCTTACCCAGCTCACTTGCTCACACCCAATCCATTATAAAAGAAGCGCTTGACATTGCCCTTCCGATTACTGTAACGACGGCGATGATGAACGCAATTGATTGCGTCAAGGGTCCACAATATGTGTTTGCATTTCCGAGTGAGAAAAAATGAATTTGTTCTTGAAGCGATTACCTTGGACATATTGGGCACGGAAACTTTCTGTCGCCATTGTCAACGCATCTTGTGTATTTGAGATGTTTATCTCGGTAATATGAATAACTGAATACTTTTCCGCAACGGTCGCACGAAAATCCGTCGGTGTCTGAAGCCAAAATAGCAATAAATTAGTTGGTCAGTTATGCAGTGGTTGCTCTTTGCTACTATAATTGTTTAATATGAATCGGTTCCTCACATTTCGTTCGAGTGAACATTGCTAGTTAAACAGCTGGCTGGCTATTCAGCTCCAGCGATATTAATGCCCTTCCCGACGTTAGAGTTGTTTGTGTTCTTGCGGCAGTTTAGCGCGAAATTAGATGTATAATGAGCTCCGCTCTACGTGGAGCCCACTGGATTACCAAATGACTAGCCGCAATACGGTAACACATGATTGAAATTCAAGAACATGATGTCGCCGAAAAAACTAAGAATACTTAGTAAATGTTTATCAGACTTACAACGAGAAAAGATAACAACAGCGAACTTACTAATGAATATCTGTCATTCGGAAACCTTGAAGAGTACCTGAACACGATTTCATGTCAATCGACAAATCCATTGGCTCTTTCTTTTCGAATTCAGTCGCTAATGTAAGCGGTGCTACTGCTTTGAGAACAATCTCTTCACCACACCGTATTGTACGACGTACAGTGTTGCCTTCGACATTACCATTTGATGTGTCTTCCCGAATTATGTGTCTCCATGATCTAGGCAACTGAAACGTTCTCTCTTTTAGACGAAAGCAAAAAGTTACGTTGTACGATGCGAATTTAGAATTTCAAAAGTACAAGCAGCATTAGGAATGTTCTTGTCTGAAAAGAAAACATGTTAGAATTAATCTCGTGTTTCTCACCGCTTTGCATGTGGTCGGAACAACCCAAAAGCTATACTTTTAAAGAGAGGCCTTTGGTCTGCGTAAGGATTGGTAGTAGTGAGGCAGATTTCGAGAACACCGAGTGCTTGCAAATTTTAGTTCAAAAGAAATGCCTGTGTAGTGAAGCTCTCTAATGCTTTGTACCAAAAATTCATGAAAACAACCCGTTGGAATTGTTTGGTCAGCAGAGTTCATCCATTTATTTATACAAAGCGTTACCTCCAAATGAGATCCTTTTGAGAAGCCTTCTTCTTTTGTACAGAGAACAACGGCAAATTTTATGGATCCAAACTGAAGCGATATACACATCAAGCCAGAGACTCGTTCCTTAGGATCGGACAGACAGAGCGATGCTAAAAGAGGGTGAACGCTAAAAATAATGTGCTTATTATGTTGGATCTCTTCAATAATGGCTTAACGGTCTTTTTTGGCATAATATTCCGTCAAGGCGATGACTGTTTCAAGTGTTGTGGCTGCAATGTTTTCTCAAAATACTTTTTATGGTTATTGCTTTTCTTCTAGGCTATTATTAAGGATCGGTCTCGTACCTTTTTCAACTGTGATAACTAAAATATGGTCATCTTAGAAATGTTGCTTGCCGAGGTGGTTCGGTATTTGTTGAGCAAGGGTAAACTGCATGCACTACGTATACTACATTTGGAACGTGCTGAGAGAGCGAGCAGACGACAGCTCGTATTCCGACCTGAACAGTCAATTGGCCTTAGCTTGATCTTCGTTTGTGATTCACGCCACGTTCCGTCATTGACAATCATCGTCATTTCTGCGTTACTAGATGCAGGTACAGAAAATGAAGCTTCTGTAAACAAATATGAGTTAAGCAACCCAGTCATCACTGGAAGCACTTTCATAACTACTTACCTGCTAAAGTTGGAGCGCTGGGAAACATTAATTGACCCCATAATGGGAATGCTGTTAAGCTTGCTGAATCATGTTGAAATAAACTAAGCCCCGAATAGATTGGGAACATTTGTATAGGGTGGAGTGGCAAGTTAGCCGGTGAGCAAGTGAATTGCCCATTGGAAGGTGTTGCCCCTGCTACCGTAACCCGTTCCGGAGGGCGGGCCGTGTAAGGAGTAGCATGGCGAATTGTGCTCAAGGGGAACCCTTCCAATTCTAGTAATATGGAAATGCAGTTATACATAAGTCAAAATGTTTTGCTTATGTGGCAGAAGTAGCAGAAGCTTACACGCCTTTGTTTTTGTACCAATAAAATCAACATTTCTTTCGACAAAAGCAAAATATATGTTTCAATGAAGTGTACTCCACAAAAATTCAGTATTTGATTGTTAACTTAAAACAAATATTTATGTTTTTGACAAACCCTAGTGCCATGTTTTTCTCCGAATTTTAGCAAAAAATAAAATGCTGGATGGTCCAACACCTTCTATTTGCGACCCAACTATTCTATGCTGACCAAGTTTAGGGTTTTTCTTCCATTTTAAACTGAGATAATGAAGATTTAATTAAATTGAAGTTAGCATGTAATTACGCTTGAAACAGCGCCTAGCATTCAGATGGAGTTAGGTTAGTAAAGTCCTGCCTTCTCCACACTCAATAAAACTGGGGATACCTCCGAAATTTTGCCGTTTCATGAGTGACGGAAAACTTGGCGGTCAGTTGCATTAAATTGTATTGGTATAACAGAATATATATATACATATTACATATATATATTATAACGACATATTTGGCCGCAATGACCGAAATCATTCCTACGATGTTGAAGCAGAATTATGTTAACTTAAAATTTCTCATAAGAAGTTGCAATGTTCCCGCAATCTTTGCTACGGATTACTGATCGAAGCTACATCGGTGACTTACGTTTAATTAGTAAAGCTTTTTAGTTTTAGATACTCTACGGATTTGCTACTACTCTAATTCGTTGCCCTAGATTTTCATGTGTCGAATTCAAAGGATTCGCATAACCCCGTGGTCTATCAGAGGCGCGAAACAGGTAAATGCTTAAATATGAAGTAGGAAGATCACTATTGAATGCCACACATCCCAAGCATTTCTAGTTAGCATATGAAGCTTATAAGGTGTTTATGCAATGAGGCATTTGATGACTACGCGTATGTCATTCAATCTACAGTAATTGCCACGTCTTCTAATCAAATCGCACGAATGTTGGTATAATAGAGCAAAGAGCAATTTGCCTCTTCCATATGCCCCTCACATATTGAGTACTGCGTAAGTAGTGTCGAATCACGGTTTCTCTTCGGATCAGCTGTTCTAGACAATTTGCACATAAACGACAAGAACGGAAACGTCTGCCAGTACATAGACACATTCTTATCCAACTGCAGATGGTCACGCAAGAAATAAAGGCGACACCAAACCAATAATTAAGTACTGCCTTCACAAGCGCACATAGGGCGCATGTAGCGCAGTGGTCGGAGGAGCCGTGCAACACACACGTTGAATCGATCCCCACGCCCAGGGTCTACCAAGTCTTCCATCCTTCCGGGGTTGGCAAATTGGTAACGGACTTGTCTGGGAGGATAGGAGCCCTGGCTCGATACATCGGCAGGTCACTGCGAGTTATTGTAAAGGCCGGATATGCATTCAATCACTTCCAACGATACTTAATGAAGTTGAAAGCATGGCGCATCCTTCAGGGATTGATCAACGCCAACAGCTTTGTCCTTTATGCTTTATTATCTTTCATAAACGAACATAAGTTGTAACCGTGACACAATGTTCGAAACTTGACATTCCTGTGTTCGAAATTTGCGGTTATTTCAAACCCGCGTGGAATTTCCGGCGTAAAAAATATTTTGTGTGATTTTAGTCGAGAATGGAATGCTTTAGGATAAATAAGGATGGAGCTCTCGGTGCTGATCAGTTCGTGAGTGATGCGCCCTGCAATCTTTCTTCACTAAGTATCGTTAGAAGTGATTGGGCCTATACAATCACTTGTAGTGGACCAATGTATGACCATCACGTCAGTGTTGCCAGCTTTCCAGACAAGTTTGGAACCAATACGTCAACACCGGAGGGATGAAACGCTTGGCGAATTCAGGGCGCGGGATGGAACCGGGAACCACGTGTGTTTTGCTTAGCACCCATGACTACTGTGGTGCATGCCGCAGTTTAATACCTCGCAGTGAATATTGTTCAAATTTCTAGGACTTCTAGATAAGTCTTCAAAATTTTTTAAAAAGTAAATTATATTGTAAAAAGCATGCATGTAGTTTCCTTATTACTAATTTTGCAGATGAATACGAATTACATGATATTTCCTTCTATTTTCAGCACCCAAGAAAGGATTATGCTCCATGCTCCTCTTTTCAACTGAAGAACACATATATTAAGCAATGGAAGGTCGGACAGTCAGTAAAAAAAAGGTATATATTTCATAAATATAATAAAAGTAGTACTGATGACGAATAGTAGCATTCGACCTAGTGCTTTAGTGCCATAGATTCTTCCAACAGTGAAGAACGTGCTAATTGGTTGTTATGGCCTATCGACTATTAGGATTAATGCTTGATTCTTTTTGAACTTCGCGCTGACATTCGTGATAATGGCTGACCATACCTACCTATATTTCTTACTAAGCTTAAGTCTTTTTTCTTGCTACCTTTGCTGTCTGTATTGATTCACCCGTTTTTTGACATCAGTGGTCAACGCAATAGCGTTTCCGACGTTATACAGTCGACGTGGGTTTGAGTTAAGTATGTCGTCCTCCACTTCCGTATATAATACTTCTACGACCAGAATCCCCATTACACCTTCGTTCGAGCCTACTTTGCTTTGTTCTCTTCATCTAGTATCTCGATTTTAATTCAAATGTTTATTATATTTTGAACTTCCCTACCAACGATTTACACCTCTTCATGACTGGAAGGTGTTCCAGCATGTCGGGCTGCGATGTACAGTGAGCGATTCAACTCTCCAGCAGAGCTTCCCATGCTGAAAAGAAGTCCTGTTTTACCATCAGGAAGTTCACCTAAGAGAAAACCAGTGACGGAATTCGCTATCGTCCTGGTATCAAACTAGTCGCGAGGTGATAAATCTCTCTCTTATCGACCAAGAGCGAAGACTACCTCTAGTGGTGACGACCTGAAGCAGACTTTAGCTTAGCTGGCTAGCGTGTGGATTGTAGGAAACCACAATGGTTAAATCAGCAAAACTCCGAAACAATTTGAATTATGCTGAGGCCCGCCTGCACAACCTGTAAAAGCATCCAAGTATTATTAATCTTCGGGCTTCAAAAGTCAGAACAGCAGAAACAACGTATCCATCTTCTCTGACATTGTTTAGAGCTGGGTGAATATGCCCACCGATGAAATCAGGTTTGAAGTCATAGATCGCCGACATCCCTGTTGTTAATAAAAAATATTTCAGAATGACTGGTGAATACGATTTTAGGTAGCACAACGGTTAAGTTGCTCGGAAATGCATACTTGGTTGTCATTTTCTTTCCTTTCTCTGGTAAGCTCAAGCCGGTCATCCCTCAAGGTTTGAAACGTCCTACCAGGCTTCGTAGAGCGGAGAAAAAATTTTAAAAAAGCAAAACATTGTTTTAGATTTTCCAGAATACCAAGTTTTGCAAAACTTTTATTAAGATTTTAACGTCATGCTCTTCTTTAGATCCACAATCTGTAGGTCTTTTTATTTTTACAGCGACCAATCCTCTGGGTGACGCGCTGCTCAATGGA